AGGATGGGAATCATGTGGAGCTCTACACATGGTTGAATTGGAAACTTCAGCATCTTTCACCATTGACTATGATGGCAATAGCTGCTGGAAGTTGAAATTCAGGCCCAATCTACACTGGCATATAATGCAGAGTGAAACTGCATCGTATGAATTTACACTTACTATGTAATGCAATTACAAACTGGTGATATCAACAATGGAAGCTCTTGAAGTGTTCATCTCTGGTACTCGGCAAACACAATGTTTACCTCATTCAAAGGGATTGCTACCTAAATAAAATACCACTCTATGTCTTTGCAGTTGTCATCAAGAATAGGAATGTGAAGAACTGGAAGAAATATAGCAAAAAATTGGAGGGGAGACCCCCCTCTTTTAAAAAAAATTCTTTTCCTGGAGAAATGGGGAAATTAATTATGGACTATTTTTCCACAAAGATGGATAAAATGTTTGATGTTACATATTTACTGGCCAATAATAGTTTCTGAAAACTATGTAAGAGGAAAACGTTCATGTAAGACTATATGAACTATTGCCATTTGTGATCTTGTTTTCTTTGTTCAGTTCTGTTTCATGGGGATGATTATGTCTGTTTGACACTATGGAGAACTAGTGTTGTTGTTTATTCATTCAGTCACTTCTGACTCTCTGTGACCTCATGGACCAGCCCACGCCAGAGCTCCCCGTCAGCCATCACCACCCCCAGCTCCTTCAGAGTCAAGCTAGTCACTTCAAGGATGCCATCCATCCATCTTGCCCTTGGTCAACCCCTCTTCCCTTTTCCTTCCATTTTCCCCAGCATCATTGTCTTCTCTAAGCTTTCCTGTCTTCTCATGATGTGGCCAAAGTAGTTCATCTTGGCCTCTAAAAGCCTTCCTTTCAGTGAGCAGTCCAGTTTTATTTCCTGGAGTATGGACTGGTTGGATCTTCTCGCTGTCCAAGGTACTCTCAGCACTTTCCTCCAACACCACAGCTCAAAAGCATCTATCTTCCTTTGCTCAGTCTTCCTTATGGTCCAGCTCTCACATCCATAGGTGACTACGGGGAATACCACTGCTTTAACTAATGGAGACAAAATATTTTTCTGTTTTAGTAATTTTTCCTAATTTTTTTTATCTTCTGTTTTTATTTGTATTTTTTGCCTGATCCTCAAACTGAAAAAAACCTGTATAGTTCAGCTATTTCTTAGTTTAAAATCTTGTCGCTAGAAAAGAAGCATTAGACCAATATGCAGCAGTAGGATTCTTCCCAAACTGCTGTAATTTCGAAGACCACAGGAACATGCTTTTCTTGCAAGTCTGTTTTGTTTGAAGATATGGTTGGCCAGTTAATGCCTTCCTTGGACAGAATTTTTAATATGCATTTTGGATCTTTGTCTTGATGGGACGTATAGCTGAGTACTATAGGAAATAACTTGGGATAAAAATAGAAGACTTGTGGTACCTTGACACCAATCCTGATTTATTTTGCATTTTATTCTTGTTTTCATTGGTTTATAGCCAAATTGTTAGCAGAATACGTTCTATATAATTGGGGGGAAATGGAATTTGGAGAAACTAGGAATGGGGGATATACCTTATTGGTGTTGGAGTAACGATTGGCTGATAAATGTTGGTATGTTACATCTGAGAGTAGATTTATCTAAAGCAGTAGAGGTGAGGACCCCGAGGTGTTCAGGCATCACTATGTCATGCTACAGTGAAAACTTAGGAAAGATGGGCTAGAGTCAGAGGTCTGCATGGATGAAAGGGGCTCTCGTATGGCCCCAGCGGTGGTAACCCATCACTTTGTAGGCTTGCTTTCTACAGTGAAAGAGTTGAAATTCTGACCTTTAATGGGATATAGAGATCTGGGACCTCTTTACACGGCCTAAAATTTGATGGTGACGACGGGTTTTTTGTTTTTTTTTCAAGGAGCCCATAGCGGGATACAAATAAAGGTTTATTTTTTTTCAAGGAGCCCATACTCTCCCATCACACACTGCAAAAGTACTTTCGCAGCAGCTCTGTAGCAAAACTGTTCAGAAAACGCTGCCACTGCTGAAAAATTGCAACAGCACACGACAGGAGACTCCCCATCTTTCCATCAGGAAAGATGGGTTGAGCCATCCCATGTGATGAGGTGGGGGGAAGCCAGAATGGTGTGGGGCCAGAGGCGGCCCTAGGTAATTTTCAACGGTAAGCAAACAGTATTTTCGTGCCCCCCCCCCCAACCAATCACTGATATATATTTTCTGTTCGCCGTGGGAGTTCTGTGTGCCATATGTGGTTCAATTCCATCATTGGTGGAGTTCAGAATGTTCTTTGATTGTAGGTGAACTATACATCCCAGTAACTACAGCTTGCATATGTCAAGGTCTATTTTCCCTCAAGAGCGCCTCAAGAGTGCTCCTGGGCAAAATCAACTATACTGCAAATGCTTACTTTGCGTAATGGGTTGAGCTGCCCTTGTGTGGGGTCTGGGGTGGGTGCCCTGGGTGGATGTCACCGAGATCACCATGATCTGCGGTGATACTCAGTGATTCCAGTGGCGGGTGTGAAGAGGTCCCTGATCAGAACATATCAAAGTATTGTTTTATCTACTTCTGGACAGTTTGTACTAACAGAAAGCAACACTGGTATTGCATGTCAGTTTCTTAAATTACATGAGCGCTTCACCAGCATTCATATTATTGTACTAGCATACTTTTCTCCATGTGTAATCCTAAAAGCTTTCCATCTTTCAAACTTCTATGAGGATAAGGATCCTCTAGGATTATTCCCCGGTGCCAGAAAGACAAAACTCTTCTACGACTTAGTGATAGCACGAGAGCATACCGGAAAGGTACACTTTCCGGTGTGTGATGAGCAAGCAGGTGATGTGGATGTCGTGGGGGTGCTGGGTGACAGATTCGACTCACTGCCCCACAGTTTGCCCCGCTGTCCTACATATTCCTCTGCTGTCCCTTGCATCATGGACCTCCATGTGATGAGGTCCTTTGTCATGCTACATTAATCTAGCAGTGGCTGAAATTTATTTAGGGATAACGTGGAAAAAAAATCTGCGCTGTCCTTGTGGGGGCAATTCCACAGTCCACACTGCCCTTAGTTAAAGGGCCATTAAAACCCCATCCTTCCTCTGAGCCATTGGGCCCTTTGCTTTTCACAAAGGCCTGCTGTGTTAAATGCCATGCATAATTGGGCCTGTCACTGCCTTAAGGGCTCCCCTTTCTCCCCATTCGCTTTTCTATTTGTAAAGCACTTAATGCTCTTGCAAAAGCTCTTGGTCATCCTTGCTTAGGATAGCTTTGCCTTCTCAGCTGGTTTTCATCTTTATCTCAAGACCTTAAAACACTGAGTGCCTGAGTAACTCAAAATTTACGTTTTAAAAGCCTGTATTTGCGATCCAATTCTGCAGGTTTTTTAATCACATAATTAATCTTGGCATTGTTTAGATTGGTAATACATTTTAATTATTAATTATTACTTTCCCATTATGGAACCTCGGTGGCGCAGTGGGTTAAACCCTTGTGCCGACAGGACTGAAGACCGACAGGTCGCAGGTTTGAATCTGGGGAAAGCTCCCTCTATCAGCTCCAGCTCCTCATGCGGGGACATGAGTGAAGCTTCCCACAAGGATGATAAAAACATCAAATCATTCGGGCATCCCCTGGGCAACGTCCTTGCAGACGGCCAATTCTCTCACACCAGGAGTCACTCCTGACACGACAAAAACACAAAACTTTCCCATCATATTATTTACACTTAATTCTGGTGTGATTACACCTATATAGTATATATATTTTTTGTTTATAGCTTGATATTTTATGCATCCATGGCCAGGCTGATTGGACTATTCTCAAAGCAGTTGTCCTGTTTCCAGGTTGTGATTATCAGCAGCCCAATGTTCCCCACATACTTTAGGCCAGGGGTCCTCAAACTAAGACCCGAGGGCTGAATGCGGCCCTCAAATGTCATGTACCCAGCCCTCACTCAGGGTCAGCTTAAATCTGAAATGGCTTGAAAGAAGACAACAACAACAACAACAACAACAACATTCCTATCTTATCAGCCAAAAGCAGGCCCACACTTCCCATTGAAATACTAATAAGTTTATATTTGTTAAAATTGATCTTCATTTTAATTATTGTATTGTTTTTAAGTGTTTTTTGCACTATAAATAAGATATGTGCAGTGTGCATAGGAATTCATTCATTTTTTTCAAATTATAATCCGGCCCTCCAACAGTTTGAGGGACTGTGACCTGGCCCTCTGTTTAAAATGTTTGAGGACCCCTGCTTTAGGCTAATAGTAAAGGTAAAGGTTTCCCTTTGACATTAATCCTAGTCGAGTTCAACTCTGGGGTGCAGTGCTCATCTCCACTTCTAAGCCGAATTGCTGGCATTGTCCATAGATCTCTCCTAGGTCATGTGGCCGGCATGACTACATGGAGTGCCATTCCTTTCTTGCCAGAACGGTACCTATTTCTCTATTCACATTTGCATGCTAGGTTTTGAACTGCTAGGTTGGTAGAAGCTGGGGCTAACAGTGGGAGCTCATCCCACTCCCCGAATTCCAACTGCTGACCTTTTGGTCAGCAAGTTCAGCAGATCAGTGGTTTAACCCACTATGCCACTGGGGTAATACATACCATAGTTATTTTTGAAGAGCCCCCAGTGGCGCAGTGGGTTAAACCCCTGTGCCGGCAGGACTTAAGACCGACAGGTCACAGGTTCGAATCCGAGGAGAGGTGGATGAGCTCCCTCTATGAGCTCCAGCTCCTCATGCGGGGACATGAGAGAAACCTCCCACAAGAATGATAAAACCATCAAATCATCCAGGCGTCCCCTGGGCAACGTCCTTGCAGACGGCCAATTCTCTCACACCAGGAATCACTCCTGACGCGACAAAAAAAAAGTTATTTTTTAAACCTATTTTTCTCTGAATCACAGGTTGTTGTTTTTCCTCTCTCCTTACACAGGATAGCTTTGGTTTTAAGGCATTGCCTCTTGTTGTCTTTTGCAGGCGTTTTGGGACAAAATGCACAGCATGCCAACAAGGAATCCCCCCAACACAGGTGGTCAGGAAAGCCCAGGACTTTGTCTATCACCTGCACTGCTTTGCCTGCATTATCTGCAACCGCCAGCTGGCCACCGGCGATGAGTTCTACCTCATGGAAGACGGGCGCCTGGTGTGCAAGGAGGACTACGAGACAGCTAAGCAGAACGGTAGGGTCCGAGCAAAGATGCCAGCCACAATGGGTGTAGTGTATTCTCGCTTGCTTAGGTTTGTTACTTAAGGACTTTAGGGTTTGTAAGTAGCTGCTGAATTTAGGTGGCTTTTGAGCATTGTCTCTGAATGACGAGACAGAAGAGCTTCTTTCAACTGGTTGTCTTTTTCTTTCAGGCTGTCAATGTGCCACAGATGACTGGCATACATCTGTGTGAGCAAGCAGGCTTGGAAAACTTTCTGTGGGCCAATAAAATTTCAGAACTTATTTGCAAGGAAGGGATGGGGTCTTCTGAGAATGATGACCCCCCATCCTCATGGAATAGGTGGGTCCATGGGTGACCAACCAACCACCGTAAGGAAGTGGATCATGAATGAAACTGAAGGTGACACTGTTATTCTAGTGCACATTGCATAGTACCTAGGTACCTTCTGTGCCTTTGCTTGAGCTAGGGAAAAAGGTGTAACATAGCCCTAGATAGATAGGTAAGGATGCTGTGGGTCCTTTTGCCCCGTGAGCAGAGTCATGTGTCACTTAATGTGGAATGTATCCGACAAGCTGGTTCATTTTTCTGTACAAGATTCTAAATAATAGCTATGTTGCCTTCAACTCAGAAACTGGTCAACACTCAAGTTTTAGCTTTATGTTTTGGGGATCTTTTACATCACAAGAAAGGAAAAACCCTGTTGGGTAAAGAGAAGACAAGGACATTATTGTGGAATGGTCCCTAAACCTGGAAACAGAGCTGGAAATCTCACATTTTCTGCTTTGCCCTGGGATATATGGCAGTGTGGACTCAGGTAACCCAGTTCAAAGCAGATACTGTGTGGTTTTCTCCCTTGATATTCTGGATTATATGGCTGTGTGGAGAGGCCCAGAGAGCCACCCTTTCTTAGGATAATCCTAAAGTCTGGTGCCATCTTCTTTCTCTTCTTTAGATTCCTCTTCCTTCTTCCTACTCTTGCCCTAAACCTTTCCTACTATTAATTTGTGCTAAGTGGTAAAACCTCAAGTGTAGGCTCCTGCCAGGATTATTTCTATAGCAACATCTCTTTGGAAAGTGCAAAATGCAGCCAGGTGAATCTAAAATAACTTTTATCCGTTTTGATCTCTCACAGCAAGAGTGCTTTTGTAACACCCTCCTCAAACACCAAATTACAATCAGGTTAGCTCACAATAGCACATTGCTGCTGAGACAATCTACTTGTTTTGGGACTGCAGCTAAATTCAGAGTGAATAGGAGATCCCAAGAGGTAGAGGTAGTGGCAAATGATCTCATAGTTCCTGCTAATAAAAAGTTTTGTCTCTTCATCCTGTGAGTCCTGGCTACATCACCACATTGCTTATAGCACACTTTCTTTTGTTTTGGTGTCTAGACTATAGGGTGCATCTACACTGTAGAACTAATGCAGTTTGACATCCCTTTTAACTGCTATGGCTCAATGCTACAAAATCCTGGGATTTGTAGTTTGGCACCAGTACTCTTTGACGGAGAGGCTAAAAATCACATAAAGCTGCAACCCCCATCATTCCATAGCAGTGAGCAATGACAGTTAAAGTGGTGTCAAACCATATTAATGCTTACAATGTTGGTGCTCCCATACAATCCAATGCTAGCACTCTCTCTGTCCATTAATACAGGTTAAGAGAAACGGAAATGCATCCAAGTCCAGGCCTTTTCACTAGGCTTGAATAAGGATGTGACTATGCCCTCCTTTCCTAAACTCTGATCAGGCATGTAGCTGGGGGGGGGGGGGGCTTTGGGGGCTTCAGCCCCCCCCCCCCCCGAAATTCTCATGATGGTCTGCGAAAAGGCCTTACTGGTACATTATTTAAACTGTTATGTTATTCATATCATGATCTGATCACCATGCTCAATATATCCCATATGCATGGGGGTATTAGGGTAACGATACAAAAGGTTTCTAGGCTAGACCCTCTTTCATTCAGACTCAGCCCTCCCCCCCTCCCCGAATCAAACTCCCCCCCCCAAATTAAAATCCTGGCTACGGGCCTGACTCTGATCTTAATAAATGGCTCTGATCCCCATTTGTTATTATTTCTTTCTCATGCATCATTCTTTGTACCCTTTCCTTCACTGGTATAATAATAATAATAATAATAATAATAATAATAATAATTATTATTATTATTATTATTTATTTATTTATTTATTTATTTATATACTGCTCTATTTCCCCAGGGGACTTAGGGCGGTTTCCAAGCAACAACATCAAAACATACAGAGCCACAACATGAACAAAAAAAAAAATCAGTAACAGCAACATAAGCACAGAATTACCAAATAACACATAAATATTAAAGGAAAAATCCTGCCTGTTCCTCATGTCTATTTGTTAGGACATAGAAAAGGAATGGGTCAGAACAATTAAAAGGCTGGGTCAAGACTGATACAAATTGAAATAAGATGGGACAGGCATTTGGGTACAGTACTGTAGTAGATAAACAACAAAAGCAGGGACGGGCTATTTCCAGGGGCCTGTTAGGAGAATGAACAGGGTAACACGGACAGTGTCTGGGCTGAGCTAGCACTGGTCACTCTCAAAGATTTGTTGAAACCATCAAATTTTCACTCTTACGAAAAGAGGGGAGGGATGGGACCTGTCTTATTTCCCTTGGAAGGGCATTCCAGAGGTGGGGGGCTACCACCGAGAAGGCCCTCTCCCTCGTCCCTACCAACCATGCTTGTGATGGAGGGGGGAGCAAGAGGAGGGTCTCCCTGGAAGATCTTAGAGTTTGCGCCGGTTCATAAATGGAGATGCGTTTGCAAAGATAGGCGAGGGCCTGAATCGTTTAGGGCTTTATAGGTCATTACCTGCACCTTGAATTTGGCTCGGCAACTTATCAGCAGCCAATGAAGCTGTTTTAATAGTGACGTTGTATGCTCCCTATAGTTTGCTCCAGTAAGGAGCCTGGCTGCTGCCCATTGTACCAGTTGTAATTTCTGGGCCATCTTCAAGGGTAGTCCCACATATAGCGCATTGCCATAGTCCAGGTGTCCTCACACTTTTTAAATAGAGGGCCAGGTCACAGTCCCTCAAACTGTTGGAGGGCCGGATTATAATTTGAAAAAACATGAATGAATTCCTATGCACACTGCACATATCTTATTTGTAGTGCAAAAAACACTTTAAAACAATACAATAATTAAAATGAAGAACAATTTTAACAAATATAAACTTACTAGTTTTTCATTGGGAAGTGTGTGTCTGCTTTTGGCTGAGATAGGATTGTTGTTGTTGTTGTGTGCTTTTAAGTCATTTCAGACCTAGATTGACCCTGAGTGAGGGTTGGGTAAATGACCTTGGAGGGCCATATTTGGCCCCTGGGCCATAGTTTGAGGACCCCTGCTATAGTCCAATCTGGATGTAACCAAGGCGTGGACCACCCTGGCCAAATCAGACTTCACAAGTTGTACCAATCTGCTTGGATCTCTAATAGGGGGTCAGTAGTTGGTACTTGATTCCTATCCACTTCCTGTAAGCACCTGGTCCCTGATGTAAATGTTTGGTTTTTATTTTTCCTGAATCCATCTCAGGAAGGCTTAGATTCTCAACAGACTGGCCATGAGAGATAGAAATCCATGCCCCGGGGTTCAGCTCTATTGGAGGCAACCGAGTTGTATATGGCATGTCGGTTTAATCTGGCCCTTAATCTCAAAAGTCTCTCATTTTTCATCCTGAGGTCTAAAATGCCAATATTTACTGTAGGTAGAAAACCCAGAATTGGGGGTTGGGTTGAGGGAAGTGAGACAGAAAAAGGCTATAGATCACCAAACACTAATGAATCCACAGAGACTGCCAAACAGAGTCTGACTGAAATTAAAACCGAACTGGTCTTTAATGGATTTCATGTTGACAAGCCCTGGCTTCTCATTAATTAAGGACTCTATTTTGACCTAATCAATTTGGCTAGGTTGATGCAATGCCTATTTGTGCTCCGCGGATTGGTGGGAGAGGCATGGCTGGGAGATCAAGGATTGAATATTGCTCAATTACTATTATTGACTCAGGGCTATCAATGTCTTTAGTGTAGTCAAGTTTTGCCCACAGAGTAACAAATAAGGAGTTGAGACATGTGCCAAAGAGCATGGTTAACTCTGTAATGGAACTGATTCTATAACCAAGCATTCTGTTAACTGACAAAAGTACGTTTATATGAAGGTGAATCTGAATTTTCAGCCTTGGGATTTGTGTGTCTATGGCTCAGGATTTCCTCTGTATCCACTGTACCTTCTGGCCAGTTAAATACGTCTTCCAGAAAAGGAGCTGTTCTTGTTGCAAGGGCTGCTAAGCCTGCTACCCACTGCAGCAATCCAGCTATACAGATTTTTTTTTACTGCTGATGGAAGCTGTGGCTGCCCTTAGTGTAACAATTTGGCAGCAATTATTTGGACCTAAATTACAACTGATGGAGCTGTTCTATAAATTCATTTTAATGAACCCTGGACCACCCAGTGGCGCAATAGGTTAAACCCTTGTGCTGGCAGGACTGCTGACTTAAAGGTCAGCAGTTTGAATCCAGGGAGCGGGGTGAGCACTGTCAGCTCTAGCTTCCCATGTGGGGTCATGAGAGAAGCCTCCCACAGGATGGTAAAACATCCGAGTATCCCCTGGGCAACGTCCTTGCAGATGGCCAATTTTCTCACACCCAGGCATGTAGCCGGGGGAGGGGGGGGCTTTGGGGGCTTCAACCCCCCCGAAATTCTCATGGTGGTCTGCGAAAAGGCCTTACTGGTACATTATTTAAACTGTTATGTTTATTCATATCATAATCTGATCACCATGCTCAATATATCCCATATGCATGGGGGTATTGGGGTAACGATACAAAAGGTTTGCTAGGGTAGACCCTCTTTCACTCAGACTCAGCCCCCCCACGAAACTCAACTCCCCCCCCCCCCCCGAATCAAAATCCTGGCTACGGGCCTGCTCACACCAGAAGCAACTTGCAGTTTCTCAAGTCGCTCCTGACATGAAAAAAAAGTTTAATGCCAGAGAATCAGATGTGCCACTTTTAAAAGGCAGACCATCAGGGAAATCCTCCTTATTGCATGGTTAGACCTGCAGAATATATTTGAGTCCCACGTTTTTGCATGACACACAAACACAAGGCATGAATATTTATGTTTGCAGGCAGTACTATCGAATAATGTGTGAACTCATTCCAAAATACTGCTATATAGCTCCAAAGCCCTGATGTGTCGAGTGGTAGCAAGCGACAGTGACCCTCTTACTTTGTTTCCAATGTTAGACACTCAAAATGTCTGTGCAATACAGAGGCTTTAAAAAAAATTGTTGTACAACAATAATGTAAAACATTTTTTAAAACTATATGTCATAGTGGAAATAATCTTCTGCACGTTCCTGGAAGCAAAAGGTTTAATACCTCTTCCACAGTACAGAATTCAACATGCAAACACAAGCTCTCATTTATCACTTCCATTTTTAGAGCACATAGCACACAGACAGCAGGAACAAACACACTCAGAAATGCTCTCACAAACATACTAATCTGGCCACACATGCTAATCCGGTCAAGCCAGGAAACTACTCTTTAAAGGACAGATGGCTATAGGTTTTAGAATAACTACATTTGTCTCCATAAGAAGAAGCTGGGCAACATGCCTTTTGTTGCTTCTATATTCCTTCACTGATTGTGAGGCAATAGGAACAATCACAATAGCTTTGTTTGTCTAGAAAAGGCATTGGAAATGGATGTGGAAAACAACAGGACTGAGAGTACACTGGAATGTGTGTGCAGCAGGTTTTGAATGAAAAGCAAAGTAAAATTAAGTAAGTAGAAGTAAAATTAAAAGTAGAATCAAACTAGTAAAATATTTAGGAGGCATATTGTGATCCAGACACTAAAATGTTCATATATAAATGTCAAGTTAAACAGCATTCCACAGACCTCTTTGTGTGTATTTGCTTTGTTCTGCTAGTTTGGAGGAATCTGGGTTAACTTACCCATAGATCAAAATGTTGGATACTACAAGTGAAGCCATGTATCAAAATGGTTAAGGCAAATTCAGAATAGTAAAACAGACAGCATTCAGCATAATAATAATAATAATAATAATAACAACAACAACAACAACAACACTTTATTTGTACCCAGCTACCATCTCCCCAAGGGACTCGGTGCGGCTTACATGAGGCCGAGCCCAACACAACAATACAAGCAATAATCACAACAATACAAGCAATCAAAATAAAAACATAGACGATAAACATATAACATTATCAATAAGACAAAAAGCATACAGATGCTGGGAGCCAAATTACATGTTGCAAACTAATATTTAGATATTTAGATCAAACACTGGTATTTTCTCAATTTTGTCTGATTTCAAAACTTTTGATAGGCATGTAGTGATCTTCTATGTTGGTTTCTGTTTCATGTTCCAAACTTAAAGGAATATCTTCTATTATAGATGATTCAGAAGCTGGCGCTAAGAGGCCCCGAACCACCATCACAGCCAAACAGTTGGAAACATTAAAAAATGCCTATAAAAACTCCCCCAAACCGGCCCGGCATGTGCGGGAACAGCTGTCTTCTGAGACTGGATTGGACATGCGGGTTGTGCAGGTGAGGCAAATGGCATGATATTGATTCTCTGTCCAACAAACAATTGATCGAGTGATTTATGGAATGACTTGTTGCCTCTTCTGATTACTTCAAACAATATACAGAATATTCAGAGTATTTGTTCAAAACATCAGCTTCCTTTGAAGATGCAAATGAATGTAAGCATTGCTTTGATCAGGGGTGTCCGATCTTTTGGCTTCCGTAGGGCATAGTGAAAGAATAAGAATTGTCTTGAGCTGCACACCACTGTAAAACAGAAGGCACTCATGAATACAAATAACAAGAGTGTGCAGTGCGTGATAGTGCTATGCCCAGTACAGAATACACACTTGAATTCTATTCCATTGCCATCTACAATTTGTGCTCAAGAACCATGCAATCAAGTTACAAAAACGATCACAAAAAAAAATCTCATTTTTAAGCAAGTTCACAATTTTGTGTTGTCTTGGGCTGTATGCGGCATACGGGCCGCAGGTTGGAGAAGCCTGGCTTAATTGGAAGATGGAACATGGCTCTTGAGAAGATCCTGTAGTGCTGCAAAAATATCTGAGGGTGGATCTCATGGTCTGATGATGCTTCCTGGACTCATGGTGGAAATGCATCCCAGGCACAACTGATTTTTCCATGGAATAATAATAATGTGGTGTCAGCAAAGCTCCTGCATCAGGTAGAATTATGGATATGGAAATAAACTAGTGAACCCTCTGTGCTATAGAACTAGGATGGGCCATTCTTGGCAACTGACACCCCCTGTAAACAAGATCTTAGAGGTTGCACCTTCGCACTGCAAGCCCCATACTCCCTGCACGCCACTCACCCCTGCCAATCAAAACTGTTTCCCCCTAAAATGCCATCTGAGGAACATGAAGACATTTTCTCTAGGTTTGAGGGCTTTTTTCATTACAGAAATTGACCCATAAGTAAATATCTAGGTATCTTCATGCTAGAAAAGAGTCTTCTCTTGAAGCTGAAAATAATCTAGAGGAGTTATATTAATTGTATTATTTATTTGCTTATTGCTTGTTGTTTTTATTGATGTGTTGTTGGGCTTCGCCTCATGTAAGCCGCTCCAAGTCCCTTGGGGAAGATGGTGGTGGGATATAAATAAAGCATTATTATTATTATTATTATTATTATTATTATTATTATTATTATAAAAATCTGACAGATTCCCCTCCCCAACCAGTCCTAGCTATTATTTGGGGCAATTTGATTTCATTTACAAAAATGACCCTGGGTGGCCTCATGCAGTGTATGGGCCACCTTCATCCCAGCACAGTTCCCAACCCCAACTCAATTCTGTGGGTAAAGATGTCACTCAAGCATCTGAGGTGTACCCTAGCTGGTTAATCTGGGGCCTGTCTAGGATAGTAATGTCAACATGCACTGTCCTGAATCTGTGGTGGTGATGGGAGGTTAGATAATCCAGTTAAAACTAGACCACATTGAACTGTCGTCTTAACGTCTATGTCACTACTATCAGACAGCCACAGAGATATCATGCCTTTGTGGGTTCTCCATACTGACATCAACAGAGGTGTCCCATGACCAGGGAGAAAGGGTGGTGGGGGGTAGTCCTCTTCAGCAAGGGATGAATTATTTTCCTTTTGTCACACTGCATTTCAGATCATACTGCATTTCAGATGATCTGCAGATAACTGGTTGACATAGTAATCGGTATAGAGCTAAAAGGTCCTTTTTGGTTGTTATATTTGCTACTAACAATAATAAACATAAGTTTGTTATTATCTAACTATTATGAATAGGGTTTGAGTAATATCACACATAGTCAGTCTATGGTAAATGCAGGGTTTGTCTCGATCAAATATCCCTTGCTGAACCAGGCTAGAATTCTCTGACTCTACATTTAGAAGTGATCCTCATTGTAAAATAATCTGTAATACTACAAAGATTTTCCCCCTTTTCATCTCTGGGATTCCAGGTCTGGTTTCAAAACAGAAGGGCAAAAGAGAAACGGTTGAAGAAAGATGCTGGGCGGCACCGCTGGGGTCAATTCTACAAGAGCGTAAAGAGGAATCGAGGAGGCAGCAAACATGAAAAAGAGAGCTCTGCGGAGGACTGTGGTGTCAGTGACAGTGAGCTGAGCTTCAGAGGTAATAGCTGGGCCCCACAAATTTCTTCCTCCTATGACAATGAATACTTGCTCTTTGAGGCAGATAGTGTTCTAGACTGGTTCCTGAGCTTGTGTCTGGCATTAGCTTCAGTTTGCTGTATTTTGCTGGACAGCCAGCACAGTTACCCCCGGATATTTTTTCCAAGATTTCAAGGGGCTTTAGACTCAAGGTCATGGATTACCCACCTTCACATGCTCCAAGAGCAGTGCTAATAGGGCTACATAGGGCTAGGATTAATGTATGCATTCTTCTCTTGGAGGCAGAACATACAGTTTGCATATTCAAGATCTGTCAAATGGGAATATATTATGTTGGTCGGGTCATCATAAGTATGTGTGGGCTAGAACTTGGGAAAGTTATTGTTTGGAGGACAATAATCAAGAGATGGTGAACAACAAAGTATCAGAGTTTGGGCAGGGTTGTCAGATGTTGGAATCAGCTTGATGGTCCATAACAACAAAAGTATTGGGAAGCCTTCATGCAATTTTAAATGTTTAAGCTGGAGGAAATAAAACCTCCCAAGACTCCAGGATTATATAGTTAATTGCTTACAAATTAATGGGGGTGTTTTGGAAAACAAGCAGAATTCAGTAAGACCATGTATAATTATATAGTCTAAGAGCTGCCAGTGCCTTGACTGGGGATGTTTCCATGATGTCTTAAGCTTGTTTTTCAGTGTTGGTGATGACAAGGTTGTATTCCACACATTTGGTCATGATTTGGATGTCATTCAGGTTGCTGTTTTCAACCCCTTCTTTCCCTAAAGTTCCTGGCCACAGGCCACTCTTGCATTAAAATCACCCAAGAGAATGATTTTGTCCTTTTTAGGTATCTCAGATAGGATGGTATCTGGCTGACAGTAGATTTTTTTTCTTTATTTAGTCATCATAATCTAGTGTTGGTGCATAAGCACTTATGATAGTTGCTTGCTGGGTTTTTGGCAAGATTAATTCGGAGGCATGAGAGTTGTTTGTTAATGTTGATAGGTGCTTCAGAGAGATGTTTCACCTGGTTATTTCTGATAGTAAAGTCTACTCCGTGTATTTGTCATTCTTGTTCAGGCAATCCCTTCCAGAAGGTTTAGCCTTCCTTTTCTTCCTACAGCTGTCCCTCTTATGATCTTTGGGTCTCTTGGAGCGCTGCTATATCCGTTAAAATGCCTCAGCTCCTCTGCAATAATAGCAGCCCTACATTCAGGATATTTGTGGTCTGTGTTATCCAACAGTGTCTGTATGTTGACTTGGAAGATGCCTGTGAGCTAATTTGTTTTATGTGTGGAAACAGTACACAGCAGCCTATGACACTGTAAATAATCGCCTTCTCCTGAGGAAAATTTATAATATTGCAAAGGACTACCACCTCACCCGCTTCATAGAAAATCTGCTACAAAACAGGAGCTTTTTTGTTGAATTCCAGGGTCAGAGAAGCAGATGGCGAAAACAGAACAGCCTGCCTCAGGGAAGCGTGCTTGCTCCATCCATGTTCAACATTTACACAAATGATTAGCCACTGCCAGAAGGGACAGAGAGTTTCATCTATGCTGATGATTGTGCCATTACCGCTCAAGCAGGGAGCTTTGAAATGGTTGAACAGAAGCTCTCCAAAGCTTTAGGTGCTCTTACTGCCTATTACAGGTGAAACCAGCTGATTCTTAATTCATTTAAGACACAGATATGTGCGTTTCATCTTAAGAAAAGTATCTCGAGCTCTGAGGATTACCTAAGAAAGAATCCCACTGGAGCACTGCAGCACACCCAAATACCTGGGAGATACCTTGGACCGTTCTCTGACCTACAAGAAGCACTGCCTGAATACCATCAAAAAGTGGGCACTAGAAACAATATCATACAAAAGCTGACTGGCACAACCTGGAGATCACAACCAGATAAAAGTGAAGACATCTGTCCTTGTGTTATGCTACTCTGCTGCTGAGCACACATGCCTAGTGTGGAACACATCTCACCATGCTAAAACAGTGGATGTGGCTCTTAATGAGACATGCCGCATTATCACAGGTTGTCTGCACCCTGCACCACTGGAGAAATAACACTGTCTAGGCGGTATTGCACCACCTGACATCCGCCGGGAAGTAGCAGCCAATAATGAAAGGACCAAGACAGTGACATCTCCAGCCCATCCCTGCTTGGATATCAGCCAGCATGCCAAAGCCTTAAATCAAAAAATAGTTTTCTAAGATCTGCAGAGATATTCACAGGAACACCTCAGAGTGTCCAAAAGTTGCAGGCTCAAACCCAGCACCTCAATCCATGTCTTATACCAAATGAAGGACTCCCTCCTGGGCACACAGAAAACTGGGCGACTTGGAAGGCGCTGAACAGACTGCGCTCTGGCACCACGAGATGCAGAGCCAACCATAAGAGACTACAAAGTGGAGTCAACGACATGCGAGTGTGGAGAAGAGCAAACCACAGACCACCTATTACAATGCAGCCTGAGCCCTGCCACATGCACAACGGAGGACCTTCTTATAGCAACACTAGAGGCACTCCAAGTGGCCAGCTACTGGTCAAAGGACATTTAATAGAATGCCAAGATGCAAACTTTGTTTTTTCTCAAATACATTGGTTCGCTCCTGATATGATAAATAAAAGCGGTTTTGACCCAAAGGCATGGATATCTGTGAGTAACCCCCATTGAACTGATTGGGACTGAGTTCTGAACACACAGGAATTTGCTTATATGTTCTGGATGGATGAAAAGTTTTTTCTTGGTAACATGCAACTTCAGTCAAACTTGATTGTTTTTAGTAAAGCCAGGTCAATTTTGAATATTCCTTTAATTCTGCTGAAAATATGATTGAAAGGCAATAATGTACATATATAGTATCTTTTCTAGTATGATTTTGTGTGTGTGATTTGAAATTTTTTAGAAGTCTCCAGCTAATTGTAAACTTAATGTTTGTTTCTGTGATGACATGTGCTTCGCTGCTTTCAATGGGGTGGTGAACTTGTGCAGATATCACTGTACTTTGAACTCCCATCATTCCGCTGATGTAGTTGATGTTCAGGCAATGTGGAAGGAACAGGTTGACACCACCCGAAGGGCACATATTTCCCACCCCTGACTGAAAGGTGCTATGCTGTCTTGGATTAGGCTACCCTGAGCATGTAATTTTTCTCTATTGTTGTCATCTCAGTGTCAAATATATGTAGTGACTCTTTGCTGCTGTCCCTAAAATTGCTTTTCTTGCTTTATTTACAGAAGACCAAATCCTTTCCGAGCTTGGCCACAACAACCGAATTTATAGCAATGCTGGCGATGTGGCTGGTGGACAACTAATGAATGGTACTTTCTCCATGGACGGGACAGGACAATCCTATCAGGACTTGAGGGATGGAAGCCCTTATGGAATCCCCCAGTCTCCAGCCTCAATATCATCTCTTCCCTCACACACTCCGTTGCTAAATGGTCTGGATTACACGATGGACAATAATTTAGGAATAATAGCACATGGAGGGCAGGGGGTGAGCCAGACACTCAGAGCTATGGCTGGCGGCCCAACCTCTGATATTTCTACTGGAAGCAGTGTTGGTTATCCAGACTTTCCCACAAGCCCTGCCTCTTGGCTTGATGAAATGGATCATCCTCCTTTTTAAAACGTCTCATTACTTGTCATATTCCCACTTGCTTTTTTGGCCTGAAAGCATTTTAGCAACCCAGTGAGGGACAGCAATCAAACTTCAAGGATCACAGATGTGCCATCCCAAGAAAATTTCCATTCATTTTGAATGGGAATTTGCTATTTGTTTCCTGTAGAGCTGAAAGAAAACATGGTATTAATATATATCTATATGTAAACACACTTTTGCTTTCTGTTCGAAAGAGTGGGACAGTAGGAGGAGCTGCTTCTGAGTACAGCACATTGATGTGTAAAGTATTTGTATGACTTTGGGGCGCGGAAAGCGGCAGCGGTAGCAAATGGAAGTGCACTGACTCTTTCCAAAATAGACTTTTGCTGTTGAGTGTGACACTAGCACATACGGAAAATGATTAGGCAGATATTGGCCTTGACAGGCTCAACTCTGGCAATGGAAATATGGAAATGTAATTTTTCTGAAGTGAGGCCTCCCAGACTGACTACTAAAGGGACGGAACATTATTGGAGGTTTACTGTCTCACCATTACCACCTCCCCATTCTACTTGTTTTCTCACTCCATATTTACTTAAGATATGACATGAAGAGATAACTCTTTGCCTTACTCAGGAGTCATGGTAGGCAGCCACAGGTGCCACTCTCCTTTTACTTATATTGCAGCCTTCAAACATCTATTCTTCTTTCTCAACCAAATCATGGGGTGGTGGTTGTGCTTGCTGCCGCCGCCTTCCATTCCTTTAACTCGCATACGCTTTCTCAATCTTCTGCTGCTAAGCAGATGCATTCTTATCCCGTTGAAGTCCATCCCTCTCACTGCCAGTATTGCTTCTATTGGGAGAGTTATAATTAGCATTAGGTGGTGCTAGGTAGTGGATAAGATGAAAAATTAATCATGCACAGGTTAGTATTTCCTATGCCATGATCATCTTAGTTAACTCAAGAGCGGTGGAACGGCAACACCATGGCAGCAGAGATATCTGTGTTCGGTGATTCCAAAAAGAGCAGGTGTGTTTCCTGTAGGTCCCTCTTCTGTCATGAAACTTTAAAAAACAAAAAACAGATGCAAATCCATCCTTTCTGTTACTGAACTTGCAGTAGTCTGCATTGTTTTGGGGGTAGAATCACATAAAGCCCACAGCAAGTGGGGCCGAACAGCATTTGAAATTGTTGCACTGTTCCTAGATCCTAGCTCATGGTACCAGGGCTCTGTATGTAAGTCAAGCACAAGGCATATTTCTTCTTCTCAAAACGGAAAGAAGTATTAGTCTATATGAAATGGGTTTACATAGAGATGTATTGCCAAGGTCCATCACCGTGTGAAGTTTAAGACAGTGCTGTATACTTCCCCATTATTTCAACCCATATGATGATATGGCACCAATCTAAGCAAAGCGGACGATGATAATGTCATCATTACTATGCTGCTGCACAAGACTTTGCTCTCAACCTGTGTGTTTCCTCCCACCAGCTTTGGAGGAGAGAGGGATGCAACAGTAATCTGATGAAGCTTCTTTAGGAGATTAAAAAATGTTCAAAGGTCACTTGCTAATGAAAGATTTCTAAGGTAGGTAAAACATATAAAAGACAAGCGCAAGAAAAAGATCATGACAATCATGTGAAGCAAAACATTAGCCAGAAGGCAGAGGTGTCAAGGGTTTTCAGAGCTGATTCAAGATTAGGAACATTTTTACCGAAGCACCTATGTGAATGGCATTTCATATTTGTTAGGGATTCATCCATACTGTAACCATTGTCTCCTAGATATTGTTCTTCAGGCTGCCAACTTTCCTCCACTACTTGCAAATTGGAGAACATGTGGCCTGCCAAGCGTTGTAGGACTACAAACCCCATCCACCATAGGCAGCACACCCAGGTGAGAGACGATGGGTGGTGTGTCATGAGACACACAGTCTCCAGATTTGGTTCAAACATATTTGAACCCTGATTTTTTTTTAAAAAAAAGGAGACTGATATTGTTCATGAATGGTCAGAGTTTGTGGGTATAGGGGCACAAAAAAGTTAGGATCTTTTTTTTGATAAGCCACAGCTCTAAATTCCCAAAGAACCACTACTATATAAGCAAACCAGATCTTTCTCCTCATCCCCTGCAGTTCTTACCATAACTCAAAATATGGCTCCAGAGTGATTCCTAGCCCTCAACATGGAAGCAGGGAAGATAATTCTGCTGATAGAAACGATTTAGTGCCATGCTGGATTCTGATACATTTACCAAGAAGGAACTTCACATTCTTGTACTGTAATTACTGAACCCTTGCAAAATAGGCTCAAATTTCTTCCAAACAGGCACCTTCATCAAGATTTAAGATAATAATGTATTGTCGAAGGCTTTCATGGCCGGAATCACTGGGTTGTTGTAAGTTTTTTCGGGCTATATGGCCATGTTCTAAAGACATTTTCTCCCGACGTTTCGCCTGCATCTATGGCAAGCATCCTCAGAGGTAGTGAGGTACCTCTGAGGATGCTTACCATAGATGCAGGCGAAACGTCAGGAGAAAATGCCTTTAGAACATGGCCATATAGCCCAAAAAAACCTACAACAACCCTAAGATAATAATGTTTCATTTCCCCTTTACTTCCGTTTAATTTTTTTTCAGTATTAAATAATACAAATAATTGAGAACCAGATTGTGAGATCAAGCTATAGTTCTGGAGAATTCGCACTAAAAGAAATGATTTGGCTTGGCTGCTTGTGCTGTTGTTCAACCAACTTTATCAATGAATGTATCCACATTTCCAAAAGCTTACCTTTAAGATTCTGGAACTGTATTCTTGTCATTTATTACTATGAGTGTTTAAAGCATTGATGGATACAATTTTATCACTGTAGAATGATTGTTACCTTTCAAGAAAGAGCACAATCATTTATCATGAGCACTCCACTGAGATCAATCTGTTATTATCCATGTTGGAATCACAGATTGAAGAAACCATATTCTTTCCCACCACCAAACAAGGTGATCTGAAAGAGGTGCTACTCGCAAAGGTAGAAATGCATGTTGGCCATACTGAGCAGAAGGAAAAATTACTAAATGGAACATAAGAGAACTTCACATTTCAGATTCCACTACCATCAAGGAAGAGGAGATGTGGCATTTTTACCTGAATACGTATAGCAAAGCTTTGGGCATATTTGTTTTGCATGTATGGATGAAGCTTGCAAAATGTGGCATGTTCCTGGCAAAAGCTAAGCACGTCTATGTCCTTTGGGTTACTGTGGGTAAGATAGTGGGCCTCTTGTCTCCCACAGGAATCCATGAAACTGAGGGTGCATCTACACTGCCCTATTTCCCAGGATCTGATCACAGATTTTCTGCTTTGGACAGGATTATACGAGTCTCCACTGCTAGATAACCTGGGAAAAGAAGATCATCTGGAATCAGATCCTGGGATATAGGGCAGTGTAGAAGGGGCCTTTGAAGTGCTTTATCTTTCATCTCACTATGCCAAAGTTTTCTACACCTTCCTTCCCTACTGCAACTCTACCTTGGAATATTTCAAGAATTTTATATATGCGAACCTTCTCTTCCATCTCATTTTATTCCATATTCATAGGCTCTTAAAATACAGCCGTATTAGCTGAATGGGAAATAAAAGGAGCTGCTAAATACTTATGTAAACGTAAGTTGAAAAGGAACACAGTTCAATGGGAGAACTTGTCTCTTGCTTAATCCATAGCCACTCTGGAGTGCAGTTAATACAGTTAATACTGGACTAGATGGTCCATTCGCTTTCTTGGTTAGAGGCAATTTCCCATGTCACTGAGAGCAGAACAGAAAAAAATGATCATGATTCCGAATGGGCTATTTTGTTAAGCATAGTAAACTAAGTAGTCTTTCCTGCTCTGATCTCTCCTCCATCTTGACTTACCAGACATCAGTCACTGCAAACAATGGAGCTCTGTCTGTTCTGTCAATAAGGATACAGCTGACTGATATTTCAGCTCATGCTTTAAGTGATCTCCAATGTGAGACAAAACCAAGAACCCTGCAATTGCTCCTCACACAAGGGACTGCTCATGAGCGAGGAGTGAGAATCTCAGTCTGCTGTGACCTAATCAACAGGAGAACAGACCCCTGTCGCTTGCATAGGCTATGTGGTCATGACGGAGACTGTGAATTCCAGAGTCATTGTTTATTGCATGGGATGTAGTTTAAAATGCATTTACAATGGAAATATGGAATAATATCCAAAGAAAACTGAAATAAAGTAGCACTCTGAGACTATGGATCTGGGCAATTCCCCAAACACAAGTGTAGATCTCATCTGAATGGGACCTGCACCTAAAATTGCAGTGTTACAATTTCCAGTTTCCATATTGAATAGATATGATCTCCAACAAATTAGAAACTCTTCAGGAAGGGATTTGCTGTGAGTAAAAGTCTAGCTTTGCAAGAACAAATAATATTAATAGTCATTTCCCTTTGCATATTGGGCCTGGGCTCTGCCTTTTGTTAGAACTCTGCTTGCAGCAAGTCCCTCTGATTTGGAAGATCCTTGTCTTTCCCCATAAGTTATCATTCAGTAGCGTGCCCTCTTATTTATTTACTTCATTTCTATCCCGGGGTGGAGAGGCTATTCAGGGAAGAAGGGGGAAGTCAGCATTCAACAGCCACTGGTGTACAGGCATGTAGCCGGGGGGGGGGGGGGGCCTGGGGGCTTCCCCCCCCCCCCCCCGAAATTCTCAGGTCTGCGAGAAGGCCTTACTGGTACATTATTTAAACTGTTATGTTTATTCATATCATGATCTGATCACCATGCTCAATATATCCCATATGCATGGGGGTATTGGGGTAACGATACAAAAGGTTTGCTAGGGTAGACCCTCTTTCACTCAGACTCCCCCCCCCCCCCCCCCCCCCGAAACAAAATTCTGACTACGGGCCTGCTGGTGTACATCTGAATCGGGAGTTATTTCCTTGTTTTTGTTTCATGACAACAAGGTCTTGTTAGCAACAGCAGAGAGGTGCTGTGGGGAATGTCCACAGCAAAGGTCAATGAGTAAGTCTACATGGAGATGAGGACACCCAGCTGTTTTTGTTCCATTACTGTTTCGTCTTACAACTGAAAGTATCTGCATAGCATCCTACAATCAAATAAAGACAGCAACCCATGCTAGGATTAAGTGTAAGAGGAAGGGAGTGTTAAAGTCTTTGTACTGGATGTCGTAAGAATTTAATGCAAGTTCATGGAATATCCACACTCTAGCAGCCTGACTTATTAGCACAGTACAATTGCATGGGCATTTTATTAAACGGACAAAAATCTAGACTCTTGCTCTGTTATTGACACTTGTTTATTGGTCCATTTGCATTCCGATTATATTACTGCATTGCTATGTATTGGAAGATGTGTTTAAGATAGAAAGCCCAGGAGCAACCTCTTAC